AACCGTCTGGAGCAGCAGTGAAGCTCTGGTCACCTTGAATATCCAGTGGAACGAAAGACCACTGAGGATTCACAGACCCGTCCATTGTAGCATAGGCAACGCCACCATTCACTCTAACGTAAAGTTTACCGAGTGCGAAGCGCAAAATAGTGGGCTCGATGAGAACATCCGAACCATTCAAGGGGTCAATTGGAGTCCACACTCCCCCCTGACCTATGAACCGAGCAATCCGCCCAGTAGCCTTCTCAGTAACATATAGAATATTCGAGTCTTGATCAAAGGTGACTCCCGTGTATTCCTTAGAAGGATCCGCCAGAGCTATTGTACGATAAGCATTGTAACTCTCCGGATCGAAAACAACAACGTCACCCTCACTGATGCCGAACACGAACATATCGTTGCCTGAAGCCTCGATATTAGAGAGAGCCTTCTCAGCAACAGGTAACCATTGGTTGCATTCGAGTCTCCAAAGCATACGGATACCATCATCACTAGAGTAGCCAGCTAGATACCATACACCATAGTCGGTGAAACTGAAGGACTCGGTAGTTATCTGGCCAGATGGAAGAAGGCTGGGGAACACCTTCCTGTCAGCGACGCAGAAATCGCCCGAACACCGCCCAGTTGGTGAGGAAGTAGTAGGACTAGTCATATGGCCACCACTCGTAGTGCTAGTGGTCAGAGGACCAGGAGTTGTGGTAGTGAACACGGGCCCACGGGTTGTTGAAGTTGTACTTGTTCGAGGACCACGGGTTGGAATGATACTGGTCGAGGGACCACTAGTCGTAGTAGAAGTGCAGAAATCTCCACACCAGTTAAGAAAGCGGAAGTCAGGTCCCTCGGAGTAGTCTTGCATGACAATGCCTCCAGTGGGATTGAAGTTCACAAGATTGCCGTTGCCCGAGGTACACACTTGATTTGGCGCCAGACCACAGCCGCATCCACCAGCGTAAAGTTCACCCGCGCCGATCAGATTATCCAATGGAAGACGATAGACCGAGTCGATAGACTTACGGTAGTAGAGGAAGCCGTCTGGAGCAGC